AGAGAAAGAGAGAGAAAGAGAGAGAAAGAGAGAGAGATAGAGAGAGAGAGAGAGAAAGAGAGAGATAGAGAGATAGAGAGAGAGAGAGAGAGAGAGAGAGGAATAAAAAGGAAAAGAACACACTTCACCTACGAATGCAGAGTGAGTGATAGTTTCATCAAGAACAACCATTTCTATACAATACTCAAATAATAAATTAATATTTCATGAATAAGATCAAACATAAGTCTATCTATTCTCTAGGGAAGTTACATTAATAGTTAATCTTCAAAGTGGCTAATGAGACAATCATTTGGAAGTTGTGAATAATTCAGGAGTGTGGTAGCATGACTGTATAATTGCTAACAATCATATAAAGGTTTTTAATAATGTGTAATGTTTTATCTAGTATGATTGCCTTTTTAACATTTTGACACATTTTCAAACTGTATGCCTACATGATAAATGGTATTCAATTGACTTCAGCAATTCATTATAAAATATGATATAATAATGAGCCGTTTAATCTACTCTGAACACTTAAGTAAACAGCATATATAGGCTATTGGACAAGACAAAAATATTATTTCAAATATATTATCACAATACTAATTCAGGGTGCATACCTGGTAGGGTTGGGAAGCCAATGTAGCCATTTCCCAGAGAACTACACCATAACTCCACACATCAGAATTACTAGTGAAGACACCATCTTTTAAACTTTCTGGTGCCATCCACCGAACTGGTAAAAGGCCTTTGGTCCCTAATTCAAAAGTTATAAACTCAAATAAATGGAAGAAATAATTCATTATGAAAAATTCATCTCCCTTTTATCTACAACTAACCTTTCCTGTAATAATCAGTCTCGTATATATCTCTCGTCATACCAAAATCACCAATTTTCACAGTGAGATCTTCTGCAACCATACAATTTCTGGCAGCAAGGTCACGATGTACAAATTTCTTTGCAGACAAGTACGCCATGCCATCTGCTATTTCAATTGCCATCTGAAGAATTCTCTGTAAATAAACAAAATTGCTGTTGTCTTAGTTTTCAATTGTTTCTGAAATTTGTAAGAGAATTAGTACAGGGTCAGATTCAGTGTTTCAGGAGCTAGGAGCTTCATCCACGTACATGGAAGACTCTGTGTTCTGTGTAAGGGATGGGTGTGTACACCATGTGTTGTGGCCATGATGACTTCATACTAACACATACCTCATCTACGCCATTATCATCGATCACTCCTCGTAATCACCCTTACTATCATTCATAGAGTATCATTCAAATGTTATTCATACAATGTTCATGCAGCTAACTATCAGAGATTGCATGGCCAAAAAAGTGCAAGATACGTGTAAGTTGCCTCCTTGCCTATGCTCGATAACCAAGAATGATATCATTATCAAAAAACAAGTAGGACATTCATTTACTCACGAGTGATTTTACAGCAATTACACACAATTCCATAAGTATCAAGAACAGACATTACTAAATACAGAAAAAAGTAACAAAGTCACTTCTTAGAATATACATCTTCACTGAGTAACTAAATACTGTATATTAGATTACAACTCACTTGGGATATAATTTTCATACAACATAATGTAGTGAGTTGATTATGCCCAATACGTTAAATTTTGATACAAGTTTTAATGCTCAATGACAAGTAGAAAGTAGAGACTGTGGAGCAGGACAAATCCCTTAATTATTCCATGAAGAGTCATTATTACAAGCTTTTGATACAATTACTCATTGGAAAAATTTTAAGACTGTAATAATGTAACTGAAGTTGAAAATGCATACAGTTCTTGATACAACTCAATGAATAGACAAAGCAATAAAATTTACAATACCTTCTACTATTCAAAAATGCTTTAGACAGGTAGGTTGTTTGGTTTGTTGGTGCAGTCATATGCCAACAGAGAATGACACTGAAGTTGACTGTCAATGATGTGAATGAGCTATGTGAAATCATTGGAAAGAGTGAAGGAAAAGGAATTAATATCGATAAAGATGTATTTACAGATGGTGACAATGACACAAAGTAACAATATCATTCCTGGACCAGATATCGAAGAAGATATGATAAATGTAACAATTCCCCCTGTATATACAGTTTCTGATGCTCCTGCAGTTTGATTATTAATATTTAATAATTTTCTTTGTAAATAGGTTTAATATGTGCTTGTATATTAATAATTTCAAGAAAATTATGTAATTTCTCAGTTTGGTACAGAAATATATAAATAATATGTAAAAGGAGACTAGAACAGTCAGTACTCAATACAATGGAAACCCCTCTAAAACAAATTCTGTTTTGGACCAGGCAAGAGTTTCTGCGGAGAAGATTAGCAAGTGTGATATTGTGCAGAACGACAAAAATTGTAGTCACACATGAATGTGCATACAAGTACATTAAAAGGTTGTATAAGGTCAACAATTTGAAAGTGAATCTAATCACCAGCGATAGAAGGTGTTTGTAAATTTTGCAAATTAAAAATACACAGCTATTGATTTCCTTTTGTGAATGTTAAGGAAATCACACCAGTATTCAGCAACAGTATCAAAGCACAGCGATTCCAAAAGCCTTGGTACCGTCCTTCCATAACTTTAATGTCCTGGTGAAACCTCTCTTATATCTAACATAACCAGATTGGATGGGAAAAAGTCTAAAAATGTAGGAAATAAAGTTTCATTGACCATAGGCACCCAATGTCTGTAATTGCATCTAGTAATTCCTACAATCTTTTCTTTAATCAGAAGATGTTTTATTACTAAGAACAATGTACGAAAGCCACTAAAAGCTTTCCCATATCCTCTTCAATGCCACACTGTTGCCTTTCAAAAATTGGCTCTTCAATAGCTCCATGCTCTGTACCCTCAAACAGATATATTCTTTGAATTTGGCTTCTTTGGCTTTTCGCCAAAGTAAGAAAATTATTTGAATTTCTTTTGGTAAGCAATTTTACAAAGGATTTAACAAAGCCAAGTTTAATATGCAATGGTGACAATAGCACCTTGTGTGCAGCAACCAATAACACATGCTGGACATTTTTTCTCCCAGATTGGAAGGAACTTCTTGGCTTCCCATCATGTCTGATATTTTCCATATCCCTCAGGAAGAGGAAGCAACATCACTTGGTAAACCTTCTTTGTAAACCCATCAACATATTGATGCCTTTTCAATCTCCACATACCGGATCTTTACTCCAACATGCAACCCAAATCTGTGCACTTGTTTTGGCAATCTGGCAACGTGTGAAATACCTTTGGCTTCCCTTTTTACTTTTAGATATCCATCCCCGTTGCAGTTGCATGCCCACAGATTTTAGGATGGGAAAACAGGGCTATTTTAGTTGGAAGACAAAGCATGCACTTACTCTTGGGCAGTCATTCATTCAAGTTTCATTCATGGTCGTAGGAACTCACAATTAGGAAAGAATTTCTTCGAAAATGATGAAGGATCAATGTGTATTTTAGTGGACGTTTACTTTGGCACTTAATCTTCTTTAAAGAGTCGGGAAATGTTTCAAGAAAAATTTGTGGAAACACCAGTACCCATCAAGTCAACAATTTGTAGATTAATCCAGTGCTTCAGGGGCTCAGGGAACGTTATGGATAAGAAGTGGAATCTTAGTGCCTCTGTTTTGAGGAGGAGAAATTCTTCTATTCAGGAGGTTTTAAAGCACTCTCCTGAGACTTCTCTCAAAATTGCATCAGCAATGCATATGTAGCAACAAAGAAATTGAAAATGAGATCTTACAAGTGGTAGATTGTTCAAGAACTGAAAGCATCAGACAAGGATGTGCGTATACACTTCTGCCATTGGTTTAGGAGCTTTCTTCAATTAGGGCTTCATGTCCTTGACCCCTTGTTTTTTAGTAATGATGCTTGATTTCATCTGTATGGGAATATAAACAAGCAGAATTGTTGGTTGTGGTGCACGTCGAAACCAAATGCAACTCTTCAAAAACCTCTTCATTCTTGGAAAGTCAGGGTTTGGCATGCCACATCTCATCACCGAATTATTGGACCCGTTTTTTTCACAGAGACAATTACTTCTGAAAAGTATAAAGACATTGTGAAAACTTTGTATCTCTTTTAGAAGAAGACAAGAGGAACTGCTGGTTTCAGCATGATGGCACCCCATGTCTCACGCGAACAATAGTATGAATTTCTAGTGGAACTTTTCAGAAAACAAATTGTTTCATAAGGCCTGTGGCCACCATGTTGCCCGGATCTTGCTTCACTGAACTTTTTTCTGTGGGGTTAAATATTGTAAAAAACAGTGCTTGAAGATTATACACTGCACATTTGTAAAATTGAATCTTTGATTATTTATGATATAAAATAAAGTAAAAATAGAATCTGCTGATCATCTCACAGTACAGCTAAATAAATTGCAATCTGGACTATACAATAAATAATCAGAACACTCGAACACCAGATTTGTCTTTTATATAGCACTGAACCCCACTGTTTGCAACTCTGTTGTAGTCTGCAAAACAGTCCACCACCACACACCTCAGAACCATTACCAGTCACCAATTTGCTAGCCTATTTCATATCTACAGTGGTGATCACAGTCACACAATACTTACCTTCAAAGTTGGTGGTTGCTTAGCAGGATCATCACTGACGTCAGGCCTATGGGAACGGAGGAATGTTTTCAGATCTCCATTGGCCATTAGTTCCATGATCACTAGCACTGGTTGTCCTTGTGAGACGACACCAAGAAGTCTTACAACATGGTGAGTGTTGAAAGCCCTGCAGGAACAAATCATCAATGTACAAAGATGTGATTAATAATGGGTAATTCATACACACAATAAATGAAATAGTCAAAAGAATTTTTGATACAAGTTAGGATTATAATATATTTTTGAAGGAAAATTCTAAACTTAAAACTTTTGAAAACCAAAATTCAGCAAATTTATGAAAAAATAATATAATATTTCATATAATGGAATGAAGATACTAAGTATTTTATTAGTGAAATAAAATATAATTCTTTATTTAACAAATAAAACATTATATCCAGGTTTTACAATGAAATAAATACATCCTGCAACACTGGGCAAACAGAATTCAGCAATACCCCTATTTTCAGACAATAAAAAATTTGGAGCGTGTCAATTATCATGCAAATGAAAAACCTTTTTGCACTCACTTCATAACAGATGCTTCGTTCAGAAACTCGCTTCGCTCACGATCAGTAGCATGTTCATTTACAGTCTTTATAGCACATCTTATTTCTCTCTGCCCTTCCACTATATCTCGGCCAATACCTTCATACACCATTCCAAAAGATCCTTGGCCTAATTCTTTTAATAGCTCAATTTTCTTTCGTGGGACCTCCCATTCATCTGGTACATAAACTGTTCAAAATAAAAACTTCAATACAGCAAAAGTCATTCTTCAAGTCAGTTTCATTCCTCACCATTTAGTATTGCCAGCTTCCATAAGCTCTTCCCCACACAACATTTTATAATAACCAGACAATTTGTAACAGTTTGTGTAAGTGGCCCAAAACAGCGAAATTACTTATTTCTGATATCATTTTAAGGTTTTTATGATTTTATTAGGGCTCCAGTAGTTTAAAACCTCCTAAAACTTCTAAAAACTATGAAATTTTATTCTTTACATAAAAATATAAAAGAACATCTCATTAGTATTGAGTACTAAATAATGCTTGTTTTATCACTTGAATATAATAAAAATAATTTTAATTGGAAAAGATTTATCATATGTGATGATGGATTATCAAATTTGTCAACCCATCTTTATAATTTACAGCTCACAATCCAGGCAATTTTTAAAATTCTGTCAGAACACACTAAATTGGATAAGAAATATCTAAAACTACACACAGGTGCCTTCTTTCTGAAAGATTTGTGGCAGCACATCTCACCAATATATTACTTCAATTCATGATCGAATTAGACTTGAATAGTTTCCCAGATACAGTTAACATTTAAAATCAAAATTTCCAACTAGCAATAAAACTGGGACTTCACTGCTCTGAGAGCAGAGAAATTTGTTTCCAACATTAAAAGATTATGTTAAAACCAAATCAAACTTTGAAGTAAAATAGATCACTGGAAAATACTACAGGTTTGTCATATACAATTTGAGTGAAAATTCTTAAAGTAAAATTAGTTAAGAAGCCTCAATAAAAAAAAGTCAGACCTGTGGGAACGTATTCTGGATTAACAGATGCTATAAGTTTCATATTGGATACTCCAGGCACATATTTTCGGCGCACATAAATAACCATCACACAGATTACAACACCTATTATGAACAATCCAACCAGAGCTCCAACTACAAATTCTAGGCCAGGACCTGATGGAGGTTCCTACAAACCAATAAAAAAAATTCTTTTAACATTATTAAAATATAAATGCAAGGTAACAAATCTTTGTTAACAAGCCTGACACTCTTTCAAGAACTGTTACATTATTAAACAAGTAGTTTGGCACATGTGATAACCGAGGGGAAGAAAATGCAATGCATACCTTAATGTAGAAGTAACGAAACTGAGTGTAGTTGGTAAATCCTGATCCTGCAAGAGACACAGCTTTAACACGCACACTGTAATTTCCAGGAGCCAAATTAACCAAAGTGAAGGAATGCTGGTTTTCAACAAATTGCTTCCTGGGTATACAATCAGATGCTGTTTTATACTGCAAAGAAAGAAACAGGATATATTTATAGCTCAAACCAATTAATATTTAAGGGAATCAACAGAGACCAGAGCAAGAACAAGTTAGCAAATGCAAATGGAACACAAACACTTCTACGAAAGTATTGCATCATAATAACAAACATCAAGAAAACACAGCGCTGAATCTACATTATCATATCTAAAAGTGAGCTTAGTTACTAGAAATCTTCTATATAATATATGAAAGTATGTCATACAATTTTGTATATGTCATAGAAAGTATGCCTAATCACAAGAGTACAGGAGTAAGGTATGTTGTATTCATTCACAAGGTTTCAATGCTATTATATTACATGTACTTGAAAATGTTCCAAAAATTCAAAGCATCAACACTACAAAGCAAGTGTTCTCCAATAATATTAAATAACACATGCAAAGAAAAATTCAGAAAACATTTCAAATTTGCATATAAAACACAAAATGTTTTTTGGATGTTTACAATTATATTGCTCTAATAAAGGATCTGCATTGCTATAATCTCTCTAATAAAAATCTTTTTGGCCATTATTCAATGAACAGATTCAGTAATCAGATATTCCACATGACACTTAAAAATCGTTTACTAAGTTTGCAAAATCACGACATTTTCAGGACAAATTTATACCCTTCATTGCTATGTCATGATTTTGCAAACTTAATAAATTGTTAACAGTTATATTGCAATATCTGAATCCTGAATCAGTTCCTTGAATAATGGAAAAAAATATTTTACATTAATTGAGAGTGATGGACAGTACAATTTAGCAATATAGATTTTTTCCTTATTTCCTCTGTTCTTATCAATGGGAATCAATGTGAAAAATGCTTAACAGGAAATTATATGTGTATGTATATGTATGTGGATATATTAACGTATATGTATGTGGATATATTAACATATATGTATATAAAAGACCATTTTATAATAAACATACGGATGTTTTATTGTTTAAGGATTTGCAGTTTTTTTACAGAATCATTGATAAACCCATAAAACATGACAACTGATCCTGTAAATTAATCAGTAAATATATATGCAGCAAAACATCCATTCATTTATCATAAAATAGTCAAAATAACCTGAAGATGGGAGTAAACCCAAGCTCACAAAAGATTTTCTAACAAGAAAATAAAAAACAAAATTAATTAATGACTTGTAATATTTTTTTATATTTAAATTATTGTCAAAAGAAGAACAAAGGACCTTACATAATCAGGTTTCAATGACACTCAAAAATTTTAATGTAAATTCATTTTGAAAAACCAATACTAACTCTTTTAACAACAGCATTGCCTCCAGTTTTCTCCCTTTCCAAACGACGATACTCGATAAAAAATGTTACAATCTCTCCATTTGGTTTTAGTGGTTCTTCCCATCTCAATTTTACAGATCCGACGGTCTGATTCACAGTTTCAATGACTACTGAAGATGAGTTAATAAGATCAGCAGTCTCTGTTATGAAAAAATTGAAAACTTTTAGTACAAAGTAAAGCACTTTATGATTAGAAATATGAATGCATTCACTTACTAGATGCAAATGTTCTTGCACTGACAAAACTCTTGGAACTGCAATTTGATGTGACATTTTGTTTCACTTCTTCTTCGAGCAGTTCACGACATGCTTCAACAGTTATTGTATAGTCAGCAAAATGTTGAAGATCAAGAATTTGCACTTTAGTGTCATTGACTCTTCTGCGAAAATCTGGGCCTGAACCTGAGCAAAATATTCAAAGTTGACATAAATACAAAATTTAGAAAGGAATAAACACGAAACAAAAAACAGCTATCATGGTCATTTACTAAGGAGAGGATTCCCGCAAAATGTACATTTTCACAGGCATAAGATAGGCTACCTAGATTCAATACTAATAATTATTAGACAATGCAAGATATTCTCTGAATGAATTAAAACCATTTTTTCCAATACTTTTCTTCACATTTGGGTTAAATTATACATTTGTACCCATTTTACATATTACTACACATTTCTTTACATTTTAATATAATTGCAACAAAAATGCAATACTTCCAATCAGTGGTGTAACGTTCAGACCTGCAAGGCCTGCAATGCATGCGGACCCAGGTAAAAGGGGGCCTATTTTTAGGCACTTTTCCGGAAGAACGATTTTAGCCATGCTTCGATAGCTTATGCAACCCATTTCTAATTCAATATAATATGCTACTAATATGTATTTCTTAATATCATGATATGATCATGATGTATGTAGAGATCAGAGTGATTAATATGAATTTGTAAAAGGACGTTTTTGTTATTTAAGGTACCAACACCACTTGTATTTGCTGTACCCTTCGATAAAGAAGACCAGATAAATGTTTTGTGGGTGGGTCCACACACATTGTTACGCTACGGCTTTCAATATGGGTTTTCCAGTGTACAACCCTTAACAGTCTTTCTGTGCATCAATTGTAATACTGAACTTGTGATCTCTGAACAGACACTGAATTGTCACACTTTCTCCCCGCTGCTTGGAAATCACGTTTTCAGAAATCAAGGAAGAGCACATGTTTACAAACCAGAAGAATATGCAACCACACTTTTGCTAATATTTAATACAGCCCATGTGGAACTTGATCAAAATCTGGGAAACATTTCTTACAGCCCATTGTGTTATCATACTCTCAACTTGGTAAAAACATACCTCTTGGACAGAGATACATTTCATGTTATTTCCCGCACAACAGAAACAGAATTTGCAGTATCATCCATTGTCAAGGCAGGCTTTCAACTTTTTTGATTTTTGGCTCAATGATTTTATTTTTCAGAAAAATGGCATCAGAAAACAACATGTTTTGGGAAGTAAATTCTTGCTTTCCCATCTCATTCATACACATTTTTTGGTGTTTGACCCTTGTGAATAAGCTGATACAAAATCATAAAACTTAATTTTACAGGAGAACAAAAAACAACTTTCAACTGACGCTGTAAATCAGGGATTGATGATATTCAAACGAAACCTACCCACAAATCGTTTCTTTTGAATAGAATTAATCCTAATTTACTTCAGTTGAAGGTTGTTTTTTGCTCTCCAGTATAATTAAGTTTTCATGACTCATCAGCTTATTCATCGGGATTAAAGATACATTATTACATTTACTGTCTTTAAACATGATGTGTATTGACAGAAGATATGTAGCATTGCAAATATGAGTTTGCTTTTGACAATTATTTGTTTGAATGTGATTATAATTTTGTACAGTGTGAAAGTGATTTGATTGGCCAGATTCAGAAAATTAAAATTCATAGTTACATTTCTACCAGAAATATCCACATATACTTATGAATACAGCTCGGAAATTCAGGCATTTATTTTACCCAAAATAGGCATTCAAAAAGGCATTATTCTAGTGAAAGTAGGGGAGCAAACAGGCACTTAAACAATGAAAAATCTCATTTAAAAAGAATTGTTATAAAAAAATTAATAATTAAAATAAATCACATTTTTATTCTAACTCTAAAATTTACATTAGTACTTAATGTGTAAGAAAACAATTTTTCCTTTGTAATCTTTATTACATATAGCAATCGGGTATGATGGCTACGAATTTGTTTTATTCACGATGTTACCTTTTTGAAATGCTATTGTGGACTCCCTACTTAATTTTGAAATGGCATCAGATAAAATGGAATTATATTTTTCTTTCTTCGCATTTGTGTAATCGCCAGCACTGAGAAGAGTATATAATATAAGAGAGCTACTCTCAAAACGGATTGGAGGCTACATTCAAAAGTAGGATGGGATTCCTCGTGAGGAAACAAAGCCTGTTGGCATTAATGAAAAAGGACAAAACACGACCGTACCTTCGTGTTGTTCAGGTTTACAGGTATATATCCAACTTGATTGAGAACGGTGCCAGGAGAAGAAAAAACAAAATAATGATGTAAAAGGCAAAAAAAGGCAAAAATAAGACAAAATGGCAAAAATCAGCAAAATGAAAATCTACTAGAGCACATCCAGAAGTACAATTAAAAGATGCCTATTGTTAAAAGTCGTAAAATAGTAACATTAACAAAAAGCATTTTGCCAAACCTCAGGGCTCTACTTATGAACAAGCACATACTATACTACATAACGAGGAAATCAAATATTTCCCATGAAAATGTGTTTTTTTTATTTGTAGTAAATTTATTGTAATGACCAAATTCAATTTCTAATATCAGGAAGCATCTTACTTAAGATACTGAAGTTACTTGTTAGTTTAGTCACAATACTACTTTTGTCTGCAAAGACAGCATTATAATAAAGTCACTATTACACACACATTTTTTAGAGCATTAGTGTCATAATGAAGCTTTATAGAGCAACATTTGAGAGTGCTAATTAAACATTCCCATCTTTGTGAATAGAATTAAAGGCACACTGGAGATAACCAATGGTCCATAAAAACAGGAGGGTGAGACCTTAGAGCATTAAAGAAAATTATTGCAATTTACTTTATAACAAAGAAAATTATTTCCTATAACTGAAATAATAAAATGATTGTTTAAAATTCCCAACATTATTGATGAATAAGAAACAATCTCTACGCAATGATCAGTCATCAATATTTACCAACGTCTGGTTGATAGGAAGTTCCACGTCCAAAATCCATCTCCCTATTGTTAATGAAATGCATATTTTCTTTGCCATTTCTGTCTTTGATTTTCTCAAAGTTACTTGGAATACTCTGAGACATAATACTTTGTATTTCCCGCTTTGATCTTGTTGGCCTGAAGAGAAAAATTAGTGCACAATAAATGACTGACATAAACGTACTAAAAACATGCACATAACAGTCATCAGCATTCAGAATATCCATATACCATAGCACGAGAGAGGAGAGAGAGGGGACAGAGGGAAAGAGGTGAGAGAGTGGGGGGGCAGGGGAGGGGATAGGTTGGACCACACCGACCGGCAGGTCAATCTATTCCCCAGTCCATTAAATTAACAGGAAAACTATCATGAATCCAGTTCTTGCATGTGTTCAATCTGAAACATGACTTTCTGACCTTCAAGAGCACTGTAAGAAATGAGAAAGTAGGACGAGAAGGAACACAACTGCAAAAGTGGCACTGGTGCACTGCTCGGGCAAGAGCTGTATAGAGAACATGTGACGTATGCGACTCAAATTCCTGCATGCTAGCATAATCCAGTGTTGTCCTCCTTGAAGCACAGCAACAAGTGTGGGGTATTGCCACTCCACAATTTAGATTACCAATTTGTACTTTGAAAATGAATATAGTGAACAAGTAAACATTTTTTAAGCAATGAAATTAAGAAATTTGCTAATGAGTAGACCAGTTTTGAGGTTTTCTAATTGTTGGGTGCAGTAAATTATCAATTGTTTCCTTTTTATAATTAAGTCACAGAACAGTAAAAATATAGAGGAAACTTTCATCTTCAAAACTGATTTTATGGTTTTTAAAAAAATAGAATAGCACATAATATGTGTAATATAATAATAAATAATATGTGTGCATGTGTGTGTAAAAAAAGTAAGGTAGATTTTATCTCCAATCTAGCAAAATATACCAAGTAGATAAATTTACCTGAATCTTTAACAAGTTCATCTCAAATCTCTGTTCTTGGACTAGGTGAATTTCAGTTGCATACATGGGAATATTCACAAACTCGGAATATTAAATTGCTTAAAAGGCATCTTTCTGTCATAAGTACAATCTGCCATACAATTTTTACACAATACTAATACAGATTATTATCGTTTCTCACCTTTTAATATAGAGTTGGTTATGTAAAGAATCTTCAAAATGAATTTGTTGAGCTACTTCTCTTTCCATATTGGTCCTACTGTCCTGACCCTGATCCAAGCACGTACAACATTCACCAGTACTTGGCTGTTTTTGCTCCTCCACCGATGGAGCCATGGTTGGCTGCGATTCTTGCTTTTGTGGGGCTGAAGTTCAAATGAAGTACACAATTTTGACTTCCCAACATTGCATTAAATCGTATAAGAACACATTTCTATTATATCTTACTGATCAATAAAATTTCAATTAACTTTTATACTAAAGAAATTGAAATCAAGATGAACGCACAACTTTGGCCAAATACAAATGAAACAATGTAACTTACGATCCTCGCAATAATTCCTTTCATATTTTTGATCTTCATTGGGTCTCATTACGCCAGTTACAATATAGTGAGTGACATTTCCATTTGGGTTGAGGGGTGGCTTCCAATCGATTGTAAGTGAATTCTCAGAATTAGCATACGCATTAAGTAGCTGGGGTGGGCTTGGATCTGAGAATTACAAACAGTTTTTCAGTCAGAAGAATAGAACAATTATATCCATGATTTCTGGTTATAAATAATAAGATAGGTTCATTTTAATCATGCAAGAGTTGAAACATGCTCTTCAATGAATATTTAATAAAAATGCAACTAAAAAAACCAAACTGCAGGGTATTGCATTTCCTAATCATCTTCACAAGAAACAAAAATTGCAGACTTTTAAAAAAATTTCCGCAATGGTATAAATTATATTAAATTTTTCAATCTTGTTTTGCATTATACTTTTCCAATTTGTATGCTGCCCATGTAAGAATGACCCCACCACCAGTCAAACGTGGCTTCTGAACCTTGGATCTGAAATGATGAAACATTGCAACATAACTGCTGGGATGTCATTAATTCTCAACACGTTGAGTGTTTAGCAAGATGATCATTGAAGTATCCAGTAACCCAGAAAAATTTTCAGTCAACTCAATTTCAGGCAGCTACATACAATCATTTATCTAAGAGTCTTGATAATATACTTGTGCACTAATCGATTACAAATTACACCTTTGTCTTTAGAACTGGACCACTTACAGTCAGGTTTTGTAGTAAAATAATGTATTTTGCTTTGTGCGCCTGTGCTCTCACTAGCAATACTGTAGGTCTTCACATAAAAGGCATACTGAGTGTAAGGGTTCAAGCGAGTCAATATATGATTGATTTCTGCTGTCCTGTCCTGAGGTACTGGGACATCATCTACTCTCCACCTACAAAATAAATATCAGCATTAGTATAAATAAATCATTACAATGAAATACTTTCACTTGAAAATATAAACTTAATTTCACTTACCCATCACCCCCACAAGCATCTCTTCCATCATAAAGAGTTAAATTCCTGAGAGGAGCTTCTGTGAAGTAAACAACATAGCCAAGCAATGAGCGAGGATCATAGTGATCAAATGACTTCCATCCAATAATAACAGCCATAGATGATATTTTATGAATCTCAACAGCCAGTTCTGTCACATTACCTGTGCAACAATAAATATAAATGCTAGTAAATAAACACTTTTTTCAACAAATGTCTATTATTAAGTCAATATTACAATTATACATACATGCAACTTTATCTCCATTTGAATTTCGAGCAACTTCTAGATCATCAAAAACACTTAAATTAGCAACTTGTCTCAATTTTTCTATCTTGTTAAAGCATAACTTTGGATTGAAATGGAAAAATAAACTTCCATTGCGAATTTCAAACTTTTCTTCACGAGTCGTCCAGTCCCATAACTCTTGTAAGTTCTGATTGTCAAGCACAATGAAAGAGTACCTAGATGAAATAAAGTAAGAATTAATAAGATTAATATATGACTCATATTTGCTTACAGGTACCCTTTGAACCAAGTTCTATTTTTTAGGACAAGAATTGAAAATTAAATTATCAATGCATATAAAAACATGACCATGGCACAAAGAGAAGAATGGAATTTTAATGTGGGCTCTAATTTCCATTTGTTGTCATCATAAACATATACATAAAATAAAGAAATTTTCAAACGATACTAAAATGCTATTGTGACATGAAAATCAATGTTCTGTTTTGAAAAGAAAATTATTTAAATAAATTATAAAATATAAACTTGAACTCACAAACCTCTTCTCGTAGTAGATCAACAAGAAAACCTTTGCTGAAAATGAATTATCATAAAGTGCAAACATTTGATCCCATAGAAGAAGCAGAAAAAAGAAATGGGTGAAAAAAAGAAACTAGTGGTATTACAATGGCACATATTTTTTCATATTTGAAAAGGTTACGTAGCATTATAATATTGCAAATCGTATCTACTTCAGTTAAGTCAGAAAAACCTCATTCACCAAATGAAGATCAGGGAAAGGTATTCTAAAAAGGAATAATATCAATATTTTATGAAAATTGAAAACTTAATCATTAAAGTACTGAATCCCATTGAATAACTGCATTCTTACAAAACATTTAAAGAGGAAAGTTTGCCACCCCAGTACTTTAACTGTTGCCCTTATTAACTGTAAAAACACAATTTAACGATCACAGCCACTGAGGTCATGTGAAGAAGGGCATTTATTATAAACTCAAAGAAGAGAAATATTTTGAAAACTTTTGAGATACTGAGAACCTTCTTAAGAGACCATTAGAAGCATTTATGTCCATTAAATTAATTAAAGTATAAAATACACCTGCAACATGAATAGTTCAGTCATACACAAGATTCTCCCAAGGGTTTTTGTTTGTTTGTTATTTTTGCACATGAGATGTTCCACAAGCTAATCTAATATTTTTCATTATATACCGATTGAAGAAAAAAAGAAAAGAAAACAGTTATTGAACTAATTCTTTCTATTCAATCAAAATGAAATCGCAAAGCATCTAATTGTCTCGTTCATGAGAAAATTAAATTTTTTTCCTGAGCTATCACAATTTTCTTGTTTTTGAAATCATTTTCGTCACTACCATCTTCATCTTCACAACTATCATTGTTCTTTTCTGGATCGCATCCCATGCTATCGCCCTCCGACTTCGTAGCCTCTCCCCCTTTAAAGATTTGCACAAAGAATTTGCATTCTTAGTCTTCCATCTGACACAATCTACAAGATTCCCTTATGTGTAATCAGCTTTTCATCACTTGTTCGTCACCTTTTCTCACTTGTTTTTGACTTCAGCTTCTTTGACATTCATTATCATTAAATTCACATCGTTAAAACTCATTTCACTGAGTTGTGAACTGCGAACCCATACATCTCCGTACCTCCATTCACATGGTGCCGAAGGGAATGCGAATAAAGTTACCAAAGCTTGAGAATATTTTGTTCACAAAATATATTTTTTTAAATCTGTCTCTATGGTTGGATGTAAAATTTGTACTTCACTCAAGGTGATTTTTTTTTTTGCCCTTTTTTCTTTTGCACAAATTTGCACTCGCCAGGCATTGAACCAAGAGTCCATGTGGCCTCATTGATCTAGCGAATTTTGCAACAAAAATTTAGCAATTGTTTTCATTCATTTTCTAGTTGCATTTCACTTACTACAATGCCATTCATTTGAGATTCTCTCTTTACTGCCCCCATTTAAAAAATGTATTTTAACTGCCTGACTAATTCACAGTGGGTGCTAAGAATATAACTGCAAATATAATTACGCATTACAGATGGGCACACATAGTATTTATTGCTTTCACAGATTACTGTAATATGAGCGTTTAAATTTCTTGACAAAAATAAGAGATCTGTGCAAAATCAAGAGATCCCAACTGATTAGGCTTAATCTGCAATTGTAAGAACACACTTTATTTTTTGAATGAAAATTTTACAAGATGGAGAGAAAAAAAATCCCTCACCTTATATAGTACTAGTATATGAGAATGTAAACAAACAGAAAAAAGAACAAGAGGATGAAAGAGATAAAGAGTGAAAAGAACAAAAAGGAAAATAAGAAAGAGGAAGTCTAAGGACTCTGAGAGAGTGTGCTAGTGTTCAATAATTCAACCTTCATCTTAATTTGACAAGATAAAATTGACAAATTGACCAAATGTAACTTACTTAGAATTTTCCAAGGTCTTTCCATGAATTATGGTGAGTTTCTTAAGAAAATTCAGAGATATCAATGGAAAAGAACGCACTATTTTTAAGTAGCCTTCTATTTCCTCAATCATGTTTAAATTTTCAACCAATTCTTTCACCATACTCTCTGCAACAAGAATATTACCATCAAATTGTTTCCCAGTGAAGTTTGGGTCCCTAAGAAAAACTATACTTACTGCCTCCACGGATCTGTATCTCTAGAGAACCCTTAATGTAAGTACATCCACGAAGACGTTGAGCTGATGCAATGCTGTCAACGCTGGCGCTGGGGCACTCCTTTCGACAGGGACCTGAAAACAAGTGCATCATTATACAACCATTGTCATTTAAACTACAGCTAAGGTATCACAGCATGATTTTTTAAATCACAATTCACTGTTACAACCACAGTCCACATTTTAAGATTTTATAACCTAACAGATTCCTTTACAAGGTGATGTCTAATTTATTTGTTTATTTATCTATCGCAACATGTGGACAATTTGTCCATTAATGAACAAAAATTAGAAACAAAATGCAAAAAGTATGATCGGTCGCAAAGAACTATATAAATAAAAAAAAAAAAGAAAAAGAAAATAATTGGTAAACAGATATTCACAATAGCACACATCTATCCACGAGAAAAATATAAACATTCAAATATAAAATTATAAAAATTCAAATATAAAATTATAAAAATTCAAATATAAATTATAAAAATTCAAATATAAATTATAAAAATTCAAATAATCTACTTCCAACAAAGACAGTATTATCATAAACCTGTTGATTGATAAAATATTTGTCAGCATACAGATGTGGTTTACAGGGTTGTTTGCTGTATATGACTTTTATAGAAAGTTTAAGTCAAAGATATCATTAGAAGCATGTCAGAAAGAAATGTACAATTCAAATCACCTCTAATCAACTTGCGCTAAAAGATCAGAACATTCAGAGAGCATAGGGATTTAGAAGCAGGAATGTCAAGCCTTGAAGCAACATGTGCAAAACTGGTCTATGCAAGGATCCTGTACCCCCATGCATCGAGAAGCAATCCTGGAAAACGTATGTTGTATACTCTTTATAGGGTTGCCAAAAAAGGAAGACCTTACAACAGGGAAGAACAACCAAATGAGTTTAACTACCATAAAAAAGAATGACTTTAATGTCATAATTGAAAGCAATTCATAACAGGTATGCTTTGTCAAACTCAAGAACTGGTTAGATTTATTTACAGTGCGCTGCATACGTTCATTAAATGTCATGCCAGAATTAACTATCACACCCAGATCTCTCATGGATGTGACTCTCTGACTCTGGAGTTAAGTGTGTAATAAAAAGCCTCTACCGATCTAGCACTGATAAAAATCAACTTACATTGATTTCTTGACATTGAGAAAAAAGTCATATGTGACACACCAATCAGACAGTATTCAGTTCTCACTGCAAGAGAACCCTGTCTTTGACTGAATTTTCAAGAAAAGCTCAAGATTGTTTGCAAAGAGTAGGTATTGAACTTCATTAATGCCCTCACACATGTCATTAATAAAAATTTTAAACAATAGTCCCAAATGAGAGCCTTGTGGAAAGCCTGACGAAGCTGCAATAGGGCCAGAGATAACACCACCATATGAGACCAACTGTATGCGATTGGCTAAATAACTGCAGAACCAACTTAACTGTGGTAGACGTATCCCCAGGCGTTCAGGTTTGTGCAACAAAATGACGTGGTTAACAGAATCCAAACATTGTATTAACATTGTATGTTCACCTCTGGAATATCTCTGGAGAAAACATGAACTTTACAGACCCTACAGATTGGTAAAAGTAGAAAATGTAAAAATTTAGTGAAGAATAAAGTGTAATGTAACCGCCCACATGGGATGAATTCCACCGTGCTGGAATAATATTTTATTTAGCATTGGGAACTGCGCTGACCATATAGTATAGGAATTATGCATTCCAGACAGCGGGAAGGCCGTTTATAAATTGGCAGTACACGAGGGCAGAGCCACCCCAACTGACTGAGGCTGCTGTGGGCACACATGTGTGCCAGATGCACCCTCTCTGCCACGCCTCAGCAAGGACATGGGCGCCATTTCGGAATCTGCCAGCGCCGTTTGTAGAATTTCTTAACTATGATCTGTGAAGTCACAGAAGACAAGCAAGACAGCACGGGTTCCTTCACTGGTGATCGTGTGGTACCCTGGTACCCCGGTCCCCCGCAGGAGGAAGGGAGGGGGGCGCCGCATAGGCGGTTACAATCTGTGGTGGAGAGTTTTAGACGACCAGCTGGACCCTGAGTTTCACGGTGGCACTCAACGCCAGTAGCTTTATAATGGTGGTAGTGAGTAGGCAGATACTAAGCTCCGTGTTGCCGGGCTTGCCCGGTAACCCACCAGTTGGGCTCCTGGCACCGACCTTCAGGCTGGATTGGGCAAAGGACGTTGTTCGGAATGCTCCAGATCCCACATATGGAAGTCCTGACGGGGACTACGACCTCCCCCCCGCACCAGGTAGGCTAGGTTCTGGTGGAACCCACGTCAATAGCCTCAAGATGGAGGCAATGAGAAGGGAAAGGGGCACCGAGCAGCCCGGACCTTAGTTTGGGTAGTCCCCTCTGGGCAAAGAAGGTAGACTTGTCTGGGCGCAAATGAATAGCGCGTTGTTTTGACTCTGGCAGTAGCCTGGATAGCCAGGCGCTCTGAGCTGGCAGGGCGATCCGGCCAGAGCATTGAATGGAGAGGTTGCCCTCCGGCAAACTTGCAATCTGGCGGGATCCAGATAGCCTTTCGGCGTACTTGTTCGTCGCCGGGGGGAATGGGGATAAACGGCAACCTCCCCGGGGTTAACGCCCACTGGTAGAACTGGAAATTGCGCAGGGTAATAAGCCCACAGGGACCATACCATACCGGTACTATGGTTACTAACAGCGTCGAGCCCTTGGCCGAAGGGATAAAGGGCACTGACGGAATGCGAAGCGACGAGACAAAAAGACAAAGAACTTCAAGGATTACTCCATGTGCTCACTGCCCAAGAAGATCTTAAAGACGTGTTGCGAAGAATGCAACGTTGCATGTTGCAACTTTTTCGGTAATTCACAATTTTATAACGTAACAAATACAATCACAATGTTTGAATACAAATGTGGCATTCACATGACAAAAAATATTGATTTACATCTAATGAATTTGCGGCGGCGATGGTGAAACGGTTAGCGTACCGGACTGTTGTACCCAAGTTGGCGGGTTCAAATCGAATGTAAAAAGTCATTCATACGCCTTCCTTCGGAGAGGGAAGTAAAGCCGGCCATGTTCGTAGATTTACTTGCTTGCAAAAGATTCTCAAGCCTAAATGACGCCTCTGAGCTAAAGACAAATCGCCAGTTTCTCGCCCAAGAAATACCTCCTTTCTCTGCCAGTTGGTGCAAGGAGCGTAGCGAAATTTGCGTGGTCAGACGGAAGAGCGGGCCTGATGGCCCGAAAAAAAACTTTGTACTTGGTGGGGACCCCAGGACCGCTGCCCATCTCGCCCCCCCCCCCCTGAAATCCGTCCCTGTTTCAGACAGAGACAGTGCGCGAGGCCAAGCAGCCCGCCCTGGGCGCCCTGCAGGAGCGATAGTTCGCGCTCGCGCGTCTGGTCGGCGCATCGATCGCGCATTGACGGCGCTGCGTCGACGCCATTTCCGCCTGCCCCACGCCACCTGCGGACGCTGCGGGCGAGCAACGAGGGGCAACATCCGGACATCGCCACCCGCCGCCCGCATCTCAGCTGCCTCCGCCGCCGCCCGACTCAGAGACAATCCCGAGAGCCGAAGCCGCCGTCTTCTCAAGAAGGATGGTGAAGGGGCCTATGATTTACGAAGGGCTGACGCTATTAGGTAGAAATTAGTTTTTAATTGCGCTAGCGTTCACTTGCAACTTGTATCATCTGAAGTGTCCTCCAGGGATGTCCCACTGGCGGCCCGCGAAAGGTCATTAGCTTAAGTCCTTTGCATTCATGTCGGGCGAGGACAACGTGCGCCTAGAGCACGCGCCCTGCCGGTGTCAACACCACCTTTATGTAGAAACAGGTTGTTTAGATTTAAGGATTTGTTTCTAGTAAATTCAGAAAAGCAAACTCCTTCCGGTGTGTTTCACTGCGTTATGCGTAGTACGGAGGGATATCAGTACGGAGCGTACTGGATTGTTGTACCCAAGTTGGTGGGTTCAAACCCGATCGAAGCCGTGGATTTTTAAGGGCGAAAAAAATCCTTCGTACGCCTTCCTTCGGAGGGGAAGTAAAGCCGGCTGTCCCATGTTCGTAGATTTACTTGCATGTAAAAGACCCTCAAGCCTAAATGACGCCTCTGAGCTAAATTCAAATCTCCTGTTTCTCGCCCAAGAAATACCTTCTTTCTCTGCTGCATGAAAGGAGCGTAGCGAAATTTGCGCGGTCAGACGGAAGAGCGGGCCTGATGGCCCGAGTCTCACCACGTAAAATAAGGCAAATTCAAAATTCAATATCACGCATAGATCCATCCCCCCTCCCCCCGTTTCTAAGCAGCCGGGCAAACTGCAGAGATCAACAGAACGGCGAAGTCACGTGTGGATCGCCCGAGTAATAAAAATATGGCTCGCGACCACATCGAAAGTCTTTCTTGTGGCCCTTGAGGTTCTGCAAGTTGGACACACGTGATTTACGCACCATGTGACTAACCTCATCTCTCATTTTTATTTTAATAATTAAATTCCCGTAGTATGACGCAACCTTTCGTTCGTGCTGCACGGCAAGGCTTCCCACAGCAATCTCCCTCCGTACTTTCAGAGCAGGAGGGCGGCTGCATTATGATTTTGGAGGCAAATCAGAAGTATGGATTGCCCATTGGGATCAGCCGCTCGCGGGCGGCGTGAGTGATATGACAAAAGGAAGAAATCGAGTAAGATAACTTCAGAAATACAACAAAGAAAAAGTGACAAGAGAATTTGCAGTTAAACAAAACTCCAAACAGGCTCTCTTGCTCTTCAGTCTAGTTCCTATTTTTTTCTTACATATATTGGGAGTGCTGAACTGGAGAAAGAAATGTTACTATTATTCTCAATTTTGCATTTTTCTCTGAAAACAATTTGGAATGGATTGTGATCAGGTATCTGAAGGAGGTCAACAAATTAGGACCAACAATTAACACTTGACTGAGTACCTTGTAGTCGACAAAGTAGAAACCAAAAGCAGACTGGAAGGACTGAAAATAAAGTGTGTTTGTGTTAAGGGTAACACTAAAAAGGAAGAGAGTAAAAAAATGAAAGTAAGATTAAGGTCCATAGACATGAAT